GGCTGTTGTCAATTGTGATCGAGGCTTTTTTCCAAGAGTACCAATTGAATACGTACGGGCGGGTCTGCAAGCAAATATCCGACTATTTGTCACGAATTCTAGCTACGTATTTTTTGCACAAACAGGACAGGATCTGCTTCAGAAACAGGTATGCATGACCTATCCCTAAAACTATCTAATCGAATGAAGTTATCGTCTCAGACAAAATCGATTGTTTTATTGACTGTTGCATAATCCAAAAGATAACTTAATTTACCATCTTTGTTTCTTTTGCATTCAGTTGCTACTTTTGCAAAGCACAGTTTGATTTGCACAATGTAATGATAAAAAAATGATTTCATTTTTTTGGACAATATTCAACTTTTATTTGGAAAAGATTGAATATTCACCAATAGTTTTGGTTCTACAGGCTGAAGTTTGTAGAAAGGTCATCAAAATGTATCGTAACATTGTCCTCGAACAAGCATTGGATGCACAAACATGGTAAGACACATACGGTTTTGTTAAACTTCCTCATTTAGCACTCAATTTGCCTTTTTCTGCCATAGTAACTCGATTAAGACCCGCTGTTCATTAGTGTCCTTTTTTAAAAAAGCCGCCCATTTTACCTGTAGTTTTGAATAAGCACTCTCTTGAATAAACCCTCTCTTCAGCGTCTAGTTTTGTATAAGCCCTCTCTTCAGCGTCGAGTTTTCAATAAGCCCTCTCTTCAGCGTCTAGTTTTGAATAAGCCCTCTCTTCAGCGTTGAGTTTTGACTAAGCCCTATCTTCAGCGTCTAGTTTTGACTAAGCCCTATCTTCAGCGTCTAGTTTTGAATAAGCCCTCTCTTCAGCGTCTAGTTTTGAATAAGCCCCTCTTCAGCGTCTAGTTTTGACTAAGCCCTCTCTTCAGCGTCTAGTTTTGAATAAGCCCTCTCTTCAGCGTCTAGTTTTGACTAAGCCCTCTCTTCAGCATCTAGTTTTGAATAAGCCCTCTCTTCAGCGTCTAGTTTTGACTAAGCCCTCTCTTCAGCGTTGGGTTTTGACTAAGCCCTATCTTCAGCGTCTAGTTTTGAATAAGCCCCTCTTCAGCGTCTAGTTTTGACTAAGCCCTCTCTTCAGCGTCTAGTTTTGAATAAGCCCTCTCTTCAGCGTCTAGTTTTGACTAAGCCCTCTCTTCAGCGTCTAGTTTTGAATAAGCCCTCTCTTCAGCGTCTAGTTTTGCCTAAGCCCTCTCTTCAGCGTCGAGTTTTGACTAAGCCCTCTTTTTAGCGTCTAGTTTTGAATAAGGCCTCTCTTCAGCGTCGAGTTTTGACTAAGCCCTATCTTCAGCGTCTAGTTTTGACTAAGCCCTCTCTTCAGCGTCTAGTTTTGACTAAGCCCTATCTTCAGCGTCGAGTTTTGACTAAGCCCTCTTTTTAGCGTCTAGTTTTGAATAAGCCCTCTCTTCAGCGTCGAGTTTTGACTAAGCCCTCTTTTTAGCGTCTAGTTTTGAATAAGCCCTCTCTTCAGCGTTGTGTTTTGACTAAGCCCTATCTTCAGCGTCTAGTTTTGACTAAGCCCTCTCTTCAGCGTCTAGTTTTGAATAAGCCCTCTCTTCAGCGTCGAGTTTTGACTAAGCCCTCTTTTTAGCGTCTAGTTTTGAATAAGGCCTCTCTTCAGCGTCGAGTTTTGACTAAGCCCTCTCTTCAGCGTCTAGTTTTGAATAAGCCCTCTCTTCAGCGTTGAGTTTTGAATAAGCCCTCTCTTCAGCGTCTAGTTTTGACTAAGCCCTATCTTCAGCGT